TGCTTTGGAGTCTGTTTTATCAGAGTCAGTTAATAGAGTCATGATATGTCATTTTAGATTTGGTCATTTGTCTTTTTTAGTTGAGTCATTTGTTTCCAGAAATGTTTAAGGGAATATCCCTATCGAGTTTTCATTGTGAGTCATGTGAACTTGTTAAACATTGTAGACAATCTTTTTCAGTGAGTAATAAAAGATTTGTTTTTCCTTTCCATATTGTGCACTTTGATGTGTGGGGCTCATATCATTTACCTGCTATGGGGGGCTACAACTATTTCATTGTTTTCATTGATGATTTCTCTTGTTACACATGGATTTACCTTCTGAAATCCTGGGATGAAGTACCAAATGTTGTACAAAAGTTTCATGAACTTATTCTTATCCAGTTTAACACTCGGATCAAAATGTTCCGATCTGATAATGCAAAGGAATATTTTGAGAAAAGTCTCTCCTCCTACTTTGATACCTTTGGAGTTATTCATCAGAGTTCCTGTTCCTACACTCCTCAACAAAATGTAGTGGCGGAAAGGAAAAACAGACATGTGGTTGAGGTTGCGAGGAGCCTTCTTTTTGCTTCCCATTTTCCTGTTAAATTTTGGGGTGATGCTGTTCTTACAGCTACGTACTTGATAAACTGAATGCCTTCTCGGGTTTTGGGGTTTAAAACTCCCTTTAGCTTGCTTTTTTCAAATGAAGATCTGTTTTCTCTTCCTCTCCGGGTGTTTGGGTGCACTTGCTATGTCCATGTTCACAGTCATCAAAGACATAAGTTTGAGCCTAAAGCACACAAGTGTCTTTTTGGGATATGCCTCCACACAGAAGGGGTACTGTTGTTTTGATCCAGTTCGTGGCACTCGCTTTGTTTCTAGAGATGTCACATTTGCAGAGTCAGTTTCTTTCTTTGGTACTTCTCTTGAGGGGGAGCATTCAGACGAGTTGTTTGCATTGTCACCATCTATTCCTCTTCCAATTCCCATTGAATCTTCCATAGAGTCTACTCCAGTTGAGTCATCTATCCCTGCTCCCCCTCCTGCTCCTACTCATCCCCCTTCTTTTCTTTCCCATTCTATTATCCAGAGGTGGTATTAGAGACAAAGACTCAGAGACATGCAAGCTGTTTCCACGCCTTCAGATGTGCCTCTTGTTCCTCCCATCACTATTGAGATAACAGGTCAGCCCTCTTCTACCACTTCGAATACCTTCCTTGACCTTGATCTCCCTATTGCCCTTCGCAAAGGCAAACGGAAATGCACAACTCATTGTATTTCCAAACACCTGTCCTATAACCCCCTTTCCCCTTCCTACTATTCCTTCATTGCCTCTGTTTTCACACATGTAATTCCCCGGTCTGTCCCAGATGCCTTGTCCAATCCAGAATGGAGAGATGCTATGATGACTGAACTAGATGCTTTGCATAAGAACAATACTTGGGAAATTGTGGATTTGCTTGAGGGAAAGGAACCGGTTGGCTGTAAGTGGGTGTTCACTATTTAAGTATCGTTCTGATGGTACTGTTGAGAGATATATGGCCGATTTGGTTGCTAAAGGATATAGTTAGATCTATGGTATTGACTACTTAGAAACTTTTGCCCTAGTAGCCAAGATGACTTCAGTTTGGGTTTTGCTATCTTTAGCTACTGCTTTTGACTGGCCTCTTCATCAGTTTGATGTAAAGAATGCTTGGGGACCTAAATGAAGAAGTCTATATATCTTTACCTCCAGGGGTGTATGGGAAGGAAATGCAAGGAAAGGTCTGTAAACTGAAGAAGTCTCTTTATGGCCTTAAGCAGTCTCCTAGAGCATGGTTTGACAGATTTCGGTCTGCTCTTGTTGCCTTTGGATACACACAGACTCGGTCGGATCATACTTTGTTTGTTAAGAGGAGAGATTCCTTAGTGATCCTCCTGATTGTCTATGTTGATGATATTGTGGTTATAGGAAATAATACTCAGGAAGTTGTTCATCATAAGAGTTTTCTTAACACTGAGTTTGAAATTAAAGACTTGGGAGAACTCGGATATTTCTTGGGAATTGAAGTTGCCAGATCTAAGGATGGTATCTTCATTTCTCAATGGAAGTATGTTCTTGATCTCCTTGCAGAGACTGGAAAACTGGGGGCTCGACTTGCTTCTACTCCTATTGATCTAAATCATAAGTTGTCAGCGACTGAAGGTGAACTGTTGCCTGATAAGGGGGTGTTCCAGAGACTGGTTGGGATGCTACTTTACCTTTGCATGACTCAACCAGATATCTCCTATGCAGTTAGTGTAATCAGCTAGTTTATGCATTCTCCCAGAGATACACATTTAGCAGCTGTTGCGAGAGTTCTGTGCTATCTAAAAGGGACTCTAGGGAAAGGTATCTTGTTTGCTAAGCATGGACACATGAAGCTGGAAGCATACATTGATGYTGACTGGGYCRGAKGTATTGATRATAGGAGGTCTACTTCAGGTTACTGTGCTATGGTAGTAGGGAACATTGTATTGTGGAGGAGTAAGGAGCAGTCTGTAGTGGCAAGATCTTCAGCTGAAGCGGAATACAGTTCTTAAGTTCTTAATCCTTGTAAAAGAAGATTTTCTAACTTTAATTGTCTTTTAAAAATATGTTTTATTAGGATGAATGAACAGCATTAGCAAATATGGGGTTTTCAAAGCTTCCTAAATTAGGATTTGACTTTGGAATTAGATTTATCAACTGTTTGGTTAAGAAAGATTATTCTGAGGTTGTTTCTCTTCCTTGCAACATAAAAGCATGTGTTTCTCGATCTTTTTTCTTTTTTGGTTGGTTCGTGGTAATGATTTAATGGTATTAACTAAAATGTACTGTTACCATCTTCGTGAGGGGTTTCCCCAATCATGCCCTCCTATGGGAGTATCCCCGGTCCCCTTCACTTTACAATTTACGAAAGAGAAGCCAGTATTCTCCATTGCTGATTCCCTATGAGAAGCTGCAATTGCTTCAGGTCCTCTAGCGGTTGAGTGAAGAGTACACTCCTGACACATAGACACTTCCGATATCACATCAACTTGAAATTAAAAAAGCAACCATACAAAAATTAAAAGACAAGATCCCTGGACTTGAGATGTGGATTCTTTTCCCGAAATTTGAATTTGTTTTCCTGATAGAGTGACCTTGTATTACCAAATATAAAATCAATAGATCCTTGAATGTAACATTTCTAGAAGTAGTGAGTTCCAGTGTAATCCAACAGAGTGCCTTGTAACCTGAACATCCTAGTTCCGTATAAAAGGAATTGTCCCCAGATAATCTCAATGCAACTACTTGCATCCCTACTCCCCCCTGGCACTACAACTTCCATATTCTGCAAGCACACAATCGACTTACAAAGTCAGACTCTACTAAAAAAGATTGTTTTTTATGTTCAGTTTTTGATTATAAATCCCTTGAAAGAAGCTGGAACGTTAAGTGTTGAACTGTTCATCTTTTACTTCAAAAGTGATCTCTGTTGCGCAAAAGAAACCTGATTATGGTGATAGTAACTATATTGTAAGTTCCAATATCCTGTCCATTGTTATCGCTATCTGAAGCTTTAGTATTCCAAGAGATCATAGTTTGGGACCCTTCAGTACCAATGAATGAAACATCAGGCTTGCTTCTTGGAATAACCACCTTTTCTCTGCGAGGATTTTAAGTGTTCAAAGTCATCACAAAGTGGAAATCTAGAGAACCATAGAAAGGAATGATGGATAACAACTTCTATCAATCAGTCTTCTATCAAGTGTTAAGATAAGCAAGAAAGGAAATACATAGTATAGAAAAAAGGATCAATAAAAAAAGAAACTAATTGGAATCCTTTAAAAAACATTAGTTTCTTACCCACCTATAAATCCCTGGAAGTATCAGAATTTTGACTTTCTGTGTACTGTGGAGCGGAACCAAATCTACAGCACCCTGAACAGGAAGCAAATCAACAATCCCATCCTTGGCTACCACAATGACTCGGCTACTGTTAAACCTAACGTTCAAGTTCAACCTCTCCTAGTTCTTCACCTTGAGATCACCCCAGGTGATAAAGTTCATGGGAGATTTGTAGGCCATAGGGAAACCGAACTAGGTTGTCAAAAGAAGAAACAAACAACCACAGCAAGAATGGGAATTGAAGAGTTCATGGATGGTCTCCCTGATTTTTTTCCTGCACCTATTTCGTGGGTAACTTCAGTTTTGTCAGTTAAGGCGGAAGGAGTTAAAGTGATGAATGAATTAAATAGGGGAGCGTGGTGAATTGAGTGCTGTATAAATCGAGGCTCCAATGGTTGAGTGAAGGAAGTGCCAAAAACCCCATGTTTGCTAATGTTGCTCATTTGTTCATCCTAATAAAAGATATTTTTAAAAGACAATTTAAAACCCTGGTATCGACTTTGTTTGGGCTTGCCTCGAGGTGCTTGGTACAAAGGTGGTTTGTAGAACTAGGAATGCATAATGTTTAACATCACTTTAGTTATTTGAAATAATGCAATTGGGAAAAGAATAAAGATATTGAGAGTTTTGCATGCTTGAATATGTTTTATATGTTTTGGTTGATTTTATTTTTAAATATTCATTTTAAATATGTTTTACATGTTATGTTTATGTATTTTAATTTGAGATAATAGGTTTTTTAAAAACATTTATTTTAAAATTTAAGTTTATATTTTTAGTTAATTTTAAATTAAATATATATATATATATATTATTTTTACATTTTTTGGCCTTTTTTTGAATTTATTTAGCTTCTTTTTTTTTTTTTCATTTTTGTTCCTTGCTTTGAAAAGGTGTGTTCCTTGTGCCTTGGGTGCAAAATGCCCCTTGCACTTTTTAGAACACTGAAGTTTTGATGATATGGCATTTAGGGTTTCTTGCTCTTACATGCATAAATAGACATAAATCTATAAGTAGACATACTCACATGCTCACTCACTCAACCACTTTTTTTCTTCTTTCCTTAACTTTTCCAATTTGCCACTAAAATGGAGGATTGATGAACCTTGCATTTTTAATGACAGAGTCACCAACAAATGATTCAACACAAGCCACTGGGTTTTCTGATTTTGCCACAAACAGGGTTGATGTCACAGAGTCCCATCCACCTGATCGCACGGTATGTCGGTATCTACTTTTGATTCATCCTCTTCTTTCCATCTATCCATGCTTATTTTTCTTTAATAATTGTGTTACACCACTTCATTTCAGGGTAGATTTGCAAGGAAGTTGAAAGGCCATGATTCAGATATAGTGTGGTCTGGTGTTGCGTGGACTTGTGGTAAACAGCTCATGCATTACCCAGCATTTTGTCGGAATGGAATTACCATAACTGTAAGCCTCTGATTTTTGCTCCATCTTTCCCTTCCCCAAGTTTAAGGAGTTCTCTAAGTCCAATACATTTTTTTCTTCTTATTCGTGATGTTCAGATACATTCCTTTGTGCTTGTTATGGCTAAAGAGGAGGATCATTATCTTGCTTATTTGGAAGATATGTATGAAGACAAGAAGGGGCATAAAAAGGTCAGAGTGCGGTGGTTTCACCACAATCAAGAAGTCAAGAGTGTAGTTCTTCTACCACGTCCACACCCTAGAGAAGTGTTTTTCACACCTTATGCCCAGGTAATCAGTGCAGAGTGTGTTGATGGTCCTGCAACAATATTAACTCCTGAGCACTATGAGAAATGCTTGGCCACTTTAGCACATATTTCTGGAGCCAGGGTTTATCTGTGCTTTAGGCAGTTCAAAAACAACAAAGTCAAGCTCTTTGATATCAGCAAATTGCGGGGTTACTTTGACCAAACAATACTCTCATGTTTGGATCCCAGTCCCCTCTTCAAGCAGAACCTCACATTCCATAACCCAACTACAGAAGAAGAGGAAGACTTTAGCCAAGAGGGCACTGTGAAGCAGGGAGCCAAGAGAACCAGAAGTTGTAGAGGGCGTCACAGGTTTCTCATGGATCATTCCAATGTCAGAGTTTCAGCTCGAGGAAACACGATGGCGGCATGTGGACCAGCATATGACAACTTGAAATTTAGGCTGTCAGGTAGGAGGCCTCTCAGTGTCAAGTGTGTCAGGCCTCATCCCTTGCGTACTCCTCATTTTAAGGTTGATGAAAAGGTAGAGATTCTATGCCAAGATAGTGGCATACGAGGCTGCTGGTTCAGGTGTACGGTCTTGCAGGCATCTCATAAGCAGCTGAAGGTTCAATATGATGATGTGCAGAATGAGGATGGATCTGGGAATCTTGAGGTATGTAATGGACCTTGGGAACTCTTTTTCCTTTTGTGATTAGTTCATCATTATAGGAGGGTGGTAACTGATAGATATCTGAGCCATTATCCTATGCCATATGTGGCCCAATAATATAACAATCATGGCTATCTAGCCTGTGACACCTCTTGAGGAAAAGTTTGCATGCGAGCCATAATGATTTGATGGCTGGGAATTTATTCTATAGATGGGTAGGGTGGTTAAGACTTTGGCCTACAAACCATTGAGAGTAAGGCAATACAAGTCTATTTCCTTTTGCTATCCCCCATAAAAGAAGATTTATACATGAATAAAAAATGGTTCATACAAGTCTAATACAAATTCATTCTGATTAAACCTAACATGGAACTCTAATGGTATTATTGTATGTACATTTATTATCAGATTGACCTGGATTGATAGATGTCTCTCCATCAATATTTTTAATTGTTCTGTCCATCAATATTTTACTATAATCTGCATTTGATTGCATGTAAAATGAAGGAAACAGTGAGTTCCTCAGAAATGATACTCAATAGGAAAATTGGAAAAACGAATCATAGTCCTAATTTTCCTGGTGTTCTTTTTTTTATTTTTTTAACTTGGGGGAAAAACCTGTATGGTTGAGAAGCATGAGTAGCACGATATGAAGAGGGCTGAGGGCCAACAAACACAATCATTCGGTTAGGAAAGGCTGAGGATGGCCCCTGGTGGCTGGCCCACTACTTGGCTGAGGCAAGAGGTATCCTGGCTGCAATGAATGCCAAACTGTTTTGGATTCCTAGAGAATTAAATATTGTGGCAGATGAGCTATCTAAATCTGGTGTGTTTAGGGATTCTCTGTATAGTGACAGATCTTTGCCTGTGTAATTTTTGAGTCCTCTTTGCTGGCTTGGTATGAATTGTACATCATCTCATGTACCAGTTATTACTTTAATGAATTCTTGTTACTTTCAAAAAGAAAAAGGTACTCACTATTTGGAAGATGTTTGTTTTCCACATTTATTTTACATGCAACCAAATACTGCAAAGTAGAAAAATTAAGGACATCATATTTATATAAACTTTCCATTTATTTGTTGGTGAAGTTGGTCTGAATACATCTCTTTGAGTAAAAGATTGTAAGCTCAAGTCTCATGGAAGTCAATTTTGTAGAATTTAGTAACAATACACATATATGAATGTGATCATAGTTCTTTAAAGCTGATCAGTTGGATATATGTTTATCTGATCTGAATCTGACCCATTAACAGATGGGCTGCTCCCTGCTAAATTGGGCATGGATGTAAAAGTCTAAAACTTTTGTTTTCTCATCGTTTAAGAGGGTTGACACATCTGTTTTGGCTTTATTGTAGGAATGGGTCCCTGCCTTTAGACTGGCTGCTCCTGATAAATTGGGCATGAGATGCTCAGGCCGCCTTACAGTCCGGCCATGTCCCCCCCTTAAGGAGTCAACAGATGGTTCTTTTGAGATTGGAGCCCCTGTAGATGCATGGTGGAGTGATGGCTGGTGGGAAGGAGTAGTTACTGGAGTTGATGATGGAGATGGTAGTCTGCAAGTTTACTTCCCTGGTATGCTCATCCTTTGTCAGCTGTAATGTTTCATACTGTTAATTTTTTTATCGCTCCCGCCCCCCCCAAAAAAAATAAAAAAATAAAAAAAATAAAAAACAAAAAAGAAAAAAAAAGTTAGGGGGCCTGTTGGACTAGCCCATTCTGGTTTAGAACCCCCATCTACATTTCCCTTTCTTTCCAGTTTCCATGTTATAATGGCCTCATAGAAATGACCTCTCTCTCTCTCAACATATGACACAGTGAATATGGTTTGCCAGCTCAGTAGTCCAGTCTCCAGAGTCCTTGAACTGTTAACAGTGTACCAATGTATTCTAGTTGCCTTGACTGGACAACAAGAAAAATAATTTGGATTTTCTCTATGGTTACAGGTGAAGACGTGTTCTCAACTTTCCAGAAAGAGAATTTAAGGAGTTCGAAGGATTGGTTTGAGAACCAGTGGGTTGATATCAAGGCAAAGCCGGATATACTATCTGCCATATCTGCAGCTGTCAGCCCTGGAACAAAGCTCTCAGGGTCTACAACAATTGCTAAGGGGGCTGATTCAGGTGGCTCAGCAATGTCGGACCATGAACTTCCTACTATTAAACTTGAAACAGTTGAAGAGGATAAGCAGGATTTAGCTGGTGGTTTTATTGGATCTGATGTCCCTGCAGAAGATGTCAAGTGGGTGACCTTGAGGAAGCGGCAAAGAATTGAAGATGAAGATAGATATGGTAATTCTGGTGATCATGATGAAAATGACAGAGATGATGACGATGATGGTGATGCCAATGATGTTGATAACAATGTAGACAAGTTGACTATTAAAGAGGATTTTCAGGCTCCTGATCACAAATGTGAATCAATAGAAGTCATGGAGGTGGCTGTCTGAGAAAGAGAACTAGTGCAACTAGGAGTCTAGGAGGATGGCGGTATTGGTCTGAAGGCAAATTAGGATTTCTGTAAATAAGACAGAGGTGATGCACATGTTTATAGAAGGTGAATCATTTTTATTGACTTGGGGAACTTGGTCGATGTACAGCTAGGAAGTTAGGATTTAGTGGTAGGTTCAGCTCTTAACGGGTCAGGTCAGAAATTTAACTTGGGATTCAGATCGGGGTCGGGGGGGCGCTGAGTCCATAAGCTTGTATGCCTGTCTAGCTGCCACGGAATCTGAATATTATTTCGATTACTAGCATTTTTTTCCTTCTTTTCTGTCTCGGTTTCTAATTAGTAATGTATTGTCTGTTTATGGAAATAAGTCTAGATAATGTTGAAAATGAGTTTATGGAATTATTTGCTCTTATGTATTAATGCAACTTATTTGACCCTCCCTCCTGGGGTAGTACTTCCAAACAAAATTTCTGTTTGGAGATGGGGCTCATCACCTTAACTGTACATGGTGATATTACTGAGAGTTAAACATTACAGTAGACTGAGCTTTACAAGCAAAATAGGTTAGAGTGTGAGCTGCAGCAGCATTGCCGTTCCTATTTACATGTACATAAAAAGGCATGCAGTTGATGTAGAGTCGTCAATTATCTGAAACAGTTTCAAATAATGAGTGTAGTCTGTCTGTAGGAGGAGGGTCACATTGCATTTGCATATGCATATTCCAGTGTGATAGTGTGTGATGACAATCCTCCAGCCTTCTCATGTGGAAAAAGCAGTATAATCTTTTTAATTCATCATCCTATCGTTACGTTGATCCGAATCATCTTTACATCAAAGTTTATGATGATGAAATTCAACAACTTCTCATACTTTCATTGTCAATATCATTATCATGACAACTGGCAGTATTGTTGGAATCCATACCATGCTGAATATTACAGATAACTAAAAACCCATCATAAGCATTGACCATAACATATATCCCACATGGATTGGATCCATTCATCCATCAAAAAGAAAGAAAAGCACCTAATAAGAGGAAAGGAACATATTTACACTCTGACTCTGCTGAAAGACTAAAAAAAATAATTCACTATCAAAGAATTGTTGTATAGGGTTGTGTAGTTGGAGAATGTACACTACAGAGAGAGAGAGAGAGAGAGAGGCGAGAATTAAAGTCTGAACCATTGATCTCCTTCTATGTATGTCTTATCCAGGAATGGCTTTGCTTCTTCGTAGGTGAATGACTTGGACCATGGTGCACGCCTCCCCAAATTGGCTCCCTTACCCCTGCACTGGTATTCCCCGAATGATACAGTCCTGCAGAGTATCAAATTCAAATGTATTAGGCCGCCATTCATAGAAATTTTGGTTAAGACAGATTATTCTCAAGTTGTTTCTCTTCCATGCAACATATATAAAAGCATTTTTCTTTTTTGGTTAATATGATTTAATGGTATTAACCAAAATTAAAATGCATTCTTACCATCTTCGTGAGGGGTCTCCCCAATCATGCCATCCTATAGGAGTTATAATACCCTCCATATCACAGTGATAATACAAAGTTCTTGCATATCTACCCCACGCTCTACCCAAGTAAATATTCCCACTCCCCTTCACTTTACATTGTACGAAAGAGAAGCCAGTATTCTCCATTGCTGACTCCCTATGAGATGCTGCAATTGCTCCAGGTCCTCTAGCGGTTGAATAAAGAGTACACTCCTATATACCACAATATAGACAATTAAGAAAGAAATCAACCATACAAATACAAAAAGAAAAGATCCCTGCATGGATTCTTCGTCTCTCGAAATTTGAATTTGTTTACCTCATAAAGCGATCTTGCATTACCAAATATAAAATCAATAGACCCTTGAATGTAACATTTGTAGAAGTAGTGGGTTCCTGTATCATCCAACAGAGTGTCTTGTGATCCCAACATCCTAGTTTTGTATAAAAAAGATTTGTCTCCAGATAATCTCAATGCAACCGCTTGCATTCCTACTCCCCCGGGCACTGCAACTTCTGTATTCTGCAACCACACACACAATCGACTTACAAAGTCAGACTCTACCAAATTAAAAAAAAAAAAAAAGATTCAATTTGTGATTATAAATCCCTTGGAATGTTCAATTAGTGTTGGAACTACTCATCTCTTACTTCAAAAGTGATCTTTGTTGCACAAAAGTAATCTGACTCTATGCTGACAGTAGCTGTATTGTAGGTTCCAATTTCCTGTCCATTGTTATCTTTATCTGAAGCTTTAGTATTCCAAGAAATCACAGTTCGGTTCGCTTCAGTACCAATGAATGAAACGTAAGGCTTGCTTGCTGGAACAATCACCTTTTCTCTGCAAGGATGTAAGTGTTCAAAATCATCACAAAGTGGAAATCTAGAGGACCATAAAAAGAAATAATTCTATATATCAATCGGTCTTCTATATAGTGATGGTTAAAGGTTATCCAATAATAATATAAATCCTATATCTCATAATCTGGATTCGAATTTGCTAAGGATAAGGATAAATCCTATATCTGATAATTATCCATACGTCTATAAAATTTAACAAATTAATAAAAGAAAAAAAAAACAAAACAGTATATATATAAAAACACATGCATTTTTTTCAACCAATTTTGTCATTTATATTTTAAACAAAATGGGGCTATACATGTCTTTTTACAAAACAATATCTGAATTTAATCCAATTTTTAAACGGATCCTATTTTTCGATTCAATCCAATCTAAAAATCCGTTATAAGGATATCTAAATCGGGTAAAATAGGGCCGGATTCGAATTCGATAATGATCCGATTTATTTGCACCCCTAATTAGAATCATGTATGAAATAATATGGAGGCAAACAAATTCACAAGAAAAAAATAAAAAAAATGCCCGCTCAATTCCTGTCAATGTTTCTATTATTCCTAGGCCTTTAGCTCTTATCAATTGTTTTGATTTCTGTGGGGACGTGCCACCCGGTCTTGTGTCATGAGTAGCACCTCTTCCCTTTTATCAAAAAACACACAAACACACACACAAAAAAAAAGTCAAAATTAATGAAAAAGAAAGACAATTGGAATCGTTTGAAAACCACTAGTTTCTTACCCACCTATAAATCCCTGGAAGTATCAGAATTTTGACTCTCAGTGTATTGTGAAGCGGAACCAAATCCACAGCGCCCTGAACAGTAAGCGAATCACCAGTCCCATCCTTGGATACCACGATGACTCGACTACTGTTAAATCTATCGTTCAAATTCAACCTGTCCCAGTTCTTCTTCACGTTGAGATCATCCCAGGTGATAAAGTTGTCCATGGGAGATTCAGAGGACACAGAGAAACCAAACTGGGTCGTCGTCGAAAGAAGAAACAAAACGATCACAGCAAGAATGGGAAGTGAAGAGTTCATGATTGATGGATGGTGTTCCTGAATTTTCCCTTGCACCTACTTCGTGGGTAACTTCGGTTTTGCCAGTTAAGGTGGAAGGAGTTAAAGAGATGAATGAATTAAATAGAGGAGCGTGGTGGTGAACTGAGTGCAGTATAAATCAAATAGAGAGAGAGAGAGAGAGAGAGAGTCCAAGGGTTGAGTGAATGAAGAAGTTAATAATTCTGTGGCTTCTTAAGGAGAAAAGCGAAACGGTTAAAAGAGGGTGTCGTAGTTTTTTGGACGGAAACGGAGGTCATGACATGCATGCCCAATCCATTACAAACACAATTTCTCCTTTTCCAAATCGATTTCTTCATAGTGGAGGGAGAAGTGGTTGTTAATGAGTAGTTAGGACTCTCTTAACTCTAAAACTCTAAACCCAAGAGAGAGCGGTTATACTTTATTTTTGCTTTCTCTTTTTAATTAGGAGGAAGCGTGCTGGTGTTAAAACAAGGATTAAAGCACCATCTTCCCAAGTTTGGCATCCATCTTCATAATAATTTCATTGTTGCATTCGGAGTTCTCTTCTTTCTAAAACTCGATCAACAGATTTACGTTCCAAAATCCAAATGGGTTTAGAACTCTAACTCTCTCTGGATTCACTGCCTTGCTTGTCATCAGGCTTTATATTGCTTACGGAAACTCCTAATTAGTTACTTCGCGCGCGTTAGGAAGAATCTTAGGCCTTGGGCCAGGGGACCGGGGCCCACATATTCGGGTCCCAAAATCAGAGGTTGACTGAAACAAAACATGTGATTAAATTAATTTATGCAATTGTTCTTTAACTTTGGAGACTCGATCGGCTGTTGTTGGAACTAAATTAATTGGAAGTGAACCGGCCTCTAATACAAATTAGCACAAACAAGATAACCAAACTACACAAACAGACATTTAAGACATGGACACACAGAAAGAAGAATAACAACTGAACTGACATCAAACAATAAAATACAAACACAAACAGATTACAGAATCCGGCAGGATTTAATTAATTTCTACTGGTAGAGAGTAGAGAGTAGAGAGTAGAAACAGAAACGTAACGTTCCGCAATGGAGATTGAGAAAAGGAGCTGTACAATGTACATGGACCCGGGGCTGTATCTGATGATTCTGATTTTGGCATGTATGGATATTTATTATTGGGTAATAAATATGTACCCGAAAATCATAACTGAGAATATCATTTATTAAGGTTGGAAATTTTATTTTATTTTTAGTTTTTAGGCAAAATTCATCCATGACCATGAATGGTGGTCATATTGCAATTTTGAGGAAGTATATATATATAATCAGCAAAGAAAAGAGAAATGCAGCAAACAATATCATTTATTAAATTTGCTGACAAAGAAATAATCATGAGCATTAGGATACAACAACTCAAGAGAAACCTTTGCAAACAGCACCCAAGTCATGAAACGCCAAAAATAAGGAAAACATCAAAGATTCAAGATGTATGACTTAATTACATATACATACGATTTGGATCCTACCAACAAAACTCATTCCAACAACCTACCAACATGATGATCTGGTTGGCACTGTACATCTATATCACCTTGAGACCGGTCCATAAACGTGTGTGATATCAGAAGATGTTGGGAGGGTGTTGAAACATATTTTGTTGGCAGGTGATTCAGTGCTCTTACACTTGCTCTTTCAGAGTACCCATACACAAGTTTGGATCAGGTCTCAACACAGGGTCCCAACAATCGGTCACAGTGGGCTATTACAGCCGTATATTGGGATTATGTCCTTTGTCTTTCATTGTGAGATGTTCCTAATGCACAATTGCAATGGCCGTTGTGACCGGTTGTTGGGACCAGATCCAGACTCCCCATACACAACTGCATATCAAGAAAGCCCCTGAATTTAAGCCCAAATTTAGGTCTCCACATTCAGTGCATGTACATACTTCTCATATATATATATATATCTATATCTATACTACTATAAAAAGTACGAATAGGGTCTAAGATTTCTGGATTTTTTTTAGACTAAAATACCCTTTTTTGAAATAGGGTCCCTATCTATTGTGAGGGCAGAGAATGTAATTTGAATACTATTATTCATTGCATTCAATTCTCTCTCATTAAATTCCATTTAAGGTATTAATTCTCATTCATCCTCATTTAACCATACACTAAGGCATTTTTGTTTCTTTTAATTACTAAATTCCACTAATTAAATTCATACATAAATAACTCTAATAACATAAAAAAATTAAACAATTTTGGGTCAAATAGGCCAACCCATGTTGCATTGTTGCTACAATTAAATAATAAAAATTAAAACTTGATAAAATGCAAAAAATGGAAATTAAAGAAAATTTTGGGAACATTTTTAATATCATATATTCACCATACTAGACAAGAATGAGTATGATAAATAAGAAATACTTTTATTAATGATAGAAATTGAATATAAAATTTAAAACTAATTGGAAATAAAATTATTTTCTTATTCTCTCTCATTAAGTCTCCTATCTAAGGTATTTTCTCTCAATAAATCCTATATTTAAGATATATTTTTCTCATCATTAAATTCTATTAATTAAATCCACAACATTGATTTTAAAAGTATAAAAATAAATACTTTGAAAATAAAATATTTTCTTCCCTCCCAGTGGTGGGTAAGCAATTTAACCATTTGGGTCAAATGGGTTAACCAATAATGCCATAATTAAATAATAAAAAATCAAAATAAATAATATATAGGGATTGAGCATATCTCCAATATAATATATTCATTATACTAAATAAAATTAAGTATGAAATGTAATAAATATTTTTATTAACAATGTAAATGGAATTACAAATCTAAAATAAACCTTGAAATTAAATTAAATGGTGTCATAGTCAAACAATAAATTTTTTATAATAAAAATACAAAAAGAAATCACAAAAATGAAGAAAAAATTAGAGAACAATTTGTGCACATATTTGATGTTATATATTTAAAAAAAATAAAATATTGGGTCCACCTATAATACTATACATTCATTATATTGAACAAAAATAAGTATTATATATAATTTTATCAATGACGGAAATGCAATAATAAATGGTTTGGGTGGTGGGTTAGTGGTTTGGGTTAAATGGATTAACCAATGATGTTATAGTAAAAATTGGACACATATCTAATATTATATATTAATTATATCGAATAAAAATTAATTATGATAAACAAACATTATTTATATAATGTAGATGAAATATATAATTTAAAATTAATATGAAAGCAATGCTATTTTTCTATCTAGATGGTGGGTTAATGATCAAACTTTTCAAATAAACTCATGGTGATGTCATAATTGAATAATAAATATTTAAAAAAGATAGAACATAAAAAATGAAAAGTATACGATTTTGTTGAAAACATTTGGGAACATTTCTAATGTTATATATTCATCATATTAGATAAAAAATTGTTAAAATAAAAATTGTTTTTATTTATGATGGAAATAGAATATAAAAATAAGTAATAATAATAATAATAATAATAATAATAATAGTAACAATAATAATTGTCATTGTAATTTAAAATTTTAACGTGCAATGCATGTCAACATTTACTAGTATATATATATATATATATATATATATATATATACATATATAATTTACTCCAGGCTCGAATTTGAATAAGATCAAACCAGACTCAGGCCAACTCAGGCTACATAAAAATTAGGCCCAAGCCCAATCCAAAAAATATAAAAATCTAAATTGCATTGTGGGTTAATGCAGGTTTGATTTCGACCCGCCGCCCAATTACACTCTTCTTAGAAAAGTATAGTATCATTCCTTATTGAGCACTTGCAAATCCACAACGCTGACAAAAGCATTCACCCAAATTACCCAATTAATAAATTAGTGAAGTCTCGCTGGTAACTTAAGGCAATTGTCCATTCAAACAATGTTTTCAAAATCCGACCGGATTGGATGGTTGGATCAGAAAAAGGCGGTTTTACCTCATAATCATCTTTTGACTAAAAAACCATTGATTTGGTCAGCAAATCATTGACCTGGGCAATCAAACCATTTAATGGTTTTTGTCTGTTTTTTATTTATTTTTATTTTTTATTAGAATAAACCATCTGTTTAATTCAAATGATCAGACCATTTGACTCGAAAACCAGACCCTGAGCGGTTTGTTATCCAGTCTAATTTTAAAAAACTTGCATTCAAAGGATTTAGGTAGAATAAAGCTAAATATGCAAATTTTTAATTTGAAAAGTGCTGGTTGGTCCTAAACTCTTTCCCCATGGAGATGCTTGATGCTTACAGTACAGAGTACAGACATCATGTTAGAAATCAAGTTTTTCTTATTATAACTTGCTATTAAGCATATCTCTAGAAACTGTAATTTTATAGCCCAATGAAGTAAGGGAGAATGGATTCAGAGATGATCTGCTGACTGGCTTAAGGACGTATTAAGTTTGTATCCCAGACTTGACGGATTTAAGCTTATTTACACCCACCCCCCAAAAAAAAACAAAAAAAAAAAAACAAGAAAAAGAAAAAGAAAAAGAAAAAAGACCTACCTCATCAATTACATGAAAGAGTCCATCCCTCAGTCTCAGACTCGGTCCAACTATGAATAAATAATTTAAACCTATTAATGGGTAGTGATGGTGAGATGAATGGTCCCATCCCATGAATGACAGGGACCACCGACTGGTAGCAGAATGCCTCAGGTAAGGTTTGGTGTGATGCTTTTAACATTTTCTAGGCTTGGGTGTGGGGTACATTATCTGGCCGTCTGGCCCATCCATAACCTGCAGCCTGACAAAGAATACATGGAAAATCTACCCATTGGAAATTTGGACCAGGTCCAACAGAAAATGAACAGGCAAAGAAGACTCTAATATGACCATCTGATTTTATTGCAAGTAAAAAAAAAAAAAATCTGATTTTGCAAAATTTAATCGAGATCAACAATTGTACAGATCATCCTTGAAACATACATATTATGACAGTTGGAGAGTAATGAAAAAAAAGAGTCTGGTCCAGTAGGCATTAGGCAAATATAGGTTCTAACTAAATCTGAGATGGGTCTCTTGCTGGATTGTCTCACTTGGAATTCAGAAGTCAAAGACATTACTCGATGGACTATGTGTCCCAGATTGAAAAACAGAGATAGGAGCTACACTAGCTAGTCTCTCCTAATTGAAAAAAACAGAGGTGGTGGCAGGTAATTGAAACTCTCACTAGCTTCTAGCTAGTATGTGTCCCAGATCATCACCACGGCGATCACTCCGACCCCAGACAAGACGGCCAGGAAATTGCAGAATGACGATTCACCCTGCCTATGCCTATCCCTCTGACTCTGACTCTGAGGTGTGTAAGTGTAACCCTTGGATAGCAGGTGGTTGACGCAGACATAGATGAAGACACCACTAGCCAGTCCCATGGATACGGCATATATCCAATCTGCCACAACGCCCCGTGTTGTGGAATCTATGACGATCCCAATGACCACCCCACTGGGGCTTGATATAGCAAAGGCAAACGCATAGGCTATACATGATGAGAGAGGGCGATCAGGGATCATCCGCAGCAGGGCTATTCCCATGCCAACAGCTGCGAATATCTTGTGCAGGCTGACCGTCCATACAGCTCTCCAAGCATTGGCCTTTGTCTCTGCAACCCCGATTGCGATGCCTTCGAATACTGAATGGAAACACAATGCCACGATTAACAAGATGCTGTCTCCTAACGAACGAACAGTCGCAAGAGATGTCTCCACGAAGTCCAAGTGGTCATCTCTTCTGTTATCAACCACCTGTTGAGACGTCAGTGCAAGCGAATATCAGTTTGTTACGTACAACAATATATGATAATTACATAATATATATCCTCCTCACACAGTCACACTCACACTCTAGACTCCACACTAACCTGAAATTGTGATTGACTGGTTGTTCCGTGGCTGCTACTGCTGCTGGTGCCGGTGTATTTCCTACTACTAGGCTGAGGCTCAGCACCTCCTGTCGGCAACAGAGGAATTAGTACCATATGTTCTCGGTGGAACTGGAAAATAACAAATTCTTTCTCAAATCTGCCTCTTCTAAAAATTTCCAAGGAATAAGAATCCAATTCTGAAATAGTAACGTTTAATTGATAAGCACTACCGAATTATAATTACATAACTCATCTTTAACACTCGCTTGGTTCACCAAAGAACAACCAAGACAGTTTTTAAGGATGAAGTTGTGTTTAATAATTAGAACAAAAGCTTCTGTTCTTCGTTAGTATGGACTGTAGGAAGAGAGAGAGAGAGAGAGAGGAGCAAGATGGATAAAATAGCAGTAGTATTGAAAAGTTAGTTTACCTAGAGGCTCAACATCATCGCCCCAAACTTCATTCCCCTGTTTGTTATAAACATGTGAAATGACGCAATCGGCAAACATGGTAAGCAGATAGCCAACGCTGGCCAACATGAACGCAAAGGGGTACTCTTTAGTTGTCAGATCCTTGAACGTGTCGGTTGAATCACTTAAGAAATGCATCAAGGCGGTCCCTAAGAACACACCACCTGCGAATTGAATCCCCAATACGAGGAACCTTTCATTCCACTTGAGGAGGCACGGGGATAGGCCCGCCAGAAACGTTCCGATGAAAACAAGGAACAAAGAACAAACCTTGACGATGATCAGGGACTTGGACCGCAGATCGGGTTCATCGGTTGACGACGGTGAGGGGACGGCGTCGTCGCCATGGCCATGGGCGGAAATTACGAGGACGAGAAAGAGAAGGAGGAGAGATGGCTCGGCAGGCATTGGCGTATACACAGAAGAAGAAGAACAAGGAGGAGGGGTATGAGTGTCCGACGTACATATAGAGATGGGTGGTGAGAGAAGGAGAGGTCTAAATTCAACGAAGAGGTAATAAGTTCGTATTGGATTGAATGCTTCTTCTTTGTACTGTCTACTGCGTATATTAATATGCACGAAACCAACGAACGAGTAGAGAGAGACTAGAGAGAGAAGAGAATCATAGAAAGAGAAGAGTGGAAAGACACCACACCAGGCCGAGGCGGACAAAACAACGGTTTCCTGCTTCCTGAATCCTGGTGGTCGTTTCCGTCGCGCTAGAGGCCTACCCATCTCTGCCTCCCCCTAAAACAACGGTCAGAGAATTTTCAATTACTAAGTCCGGTCCGACCAAATCCTGTCCAATATTGGAGTAAAGTGGATAGGAAGCTCGAATCGAAGCTAATGGGTATGGGGTCTGACCGTCTGGCAGTGGGACGGCCATCATCTCCTCACTCTGCCACCTCTCTTAAAGTCTTAATTGAGTTTGGTTGACACTATAACCTGGATTGAAGTGGGGTCATTTTATAATTTATAGTTTCCTTTTAAATTTGGTGTTCCAATCTACACCACAGTAGATACAATTATTCATGTAAGTCTTGAATAAATTCTTGAAGTACTATTTAAAAAATTTTGTTTGTCAACAACATCCACGGGTGCAGAACGTCTTCACCAAGTGTAATGTGGTTTCAACCACTTCACGGTGGGGCTCAATAGATTGGAATGTTCCATGTGTTATTAGGCCATAGTACTGTATAACCCCTTAATAAAGGGCAACTTCCACCTCAGCCCAATCATAATTTTTGAGTGAAAAATTCCGATTGATCGTAGGGCTGCAACTTGAGCTGGGTTATAAGTTATAAAGGTCCACAACCCAATATTTGGTTGGGTTAGAATGGATTGGATTGAATTTCATGTCATGGTTAGTGTTGAAAATTATAATTGTAAATTTCCTCCTTCAGGCTTCAGCCATATGAATACTTTCTAAAATACAAGCTCTTACGGAGTAAGCCATGAGCTTCCTGTTGTCTCTCTAACTCAATGCCTATGTGGAAGAGTAGTTAAGATACAATTACATCCTCACTAACCCATCAATATTGTTTTTTTTAATTGCTTTTAACAGAGACGGTGCTCTGTTTATAAATTGTAGGGAACAGGGCCTTCCTGTTTTCGTGGTAGCATGTGATTTGTACTCTGTCAATGAGGGACTAGACCCATAAGCCCGGGCTTCAAAGGATGAAGTGATAGAAAACATGTAATCCTCCTTACAAGGATCCAATGGGCCAGCCCAACGCCCACCCATTTACAACCATAATCACGCACTAGAAACTTGTAATCATCATTGTAAAGACAAAATGCTAATTCATCTTTTACAAGAAGCGACTGTTTAAATTAGCACAAGTACAATGCATCGACATAAACTCAAAAATAACCAAGATGTCTATGCACAAACAATCAAGTCCACCGCTAGAGTGAAATTGCAAGAGATCATGATTCTTCACCGCTAAGATCTCCCCATCGAACATTGTGTTTTGCAGCAAGGTAATGTGCTCCAACTGGCCCTCTACTGCCATATGGGTAAAGTTCCGGGGAAATCTTCTTCTCTTCCAGTTCCTTCAACAATGGTGTGAAAATTCCCCAGGCAGCATCAAGCTCATCACTTCTAATGAACAGCCGACGTTCACCTTCTATGGCATCTAAGAGCAGCCTCTCATAAGCATCTGGTATTTCCCTTGGATACCTTCACAAGGAACGCTCAAGTTTATTAGTTTCAACCTAAACAAAATGTTAAAAAGGCTGCAGAATTATTTATGTGCCACCAAATAGATCTAATTGCATTGAAGAATATTATTTAGGTGGTTTCTAACTTCCTAAGAGCGCTCTAGAAGTCTTAAGCCATCTTCCTATGAATGCATAAAACTGCAGGGCATACAGTGTTAACAAAAGCTTATAATTGAAGAGGTAATGAAAAGAACACAATTTTTTTTTCCAGTTTAAACAAATAATATTTGGTGGATATTCACCTTGCTTTGTAAAGCAGATTCAGGTCACTACGGTCCAATCTCATCCCAAGGCCAGGTACCTTGTTGTTGATCTTCAGATATATAGCTTCATTAGGTTGCACACGAATTACTAGTTCATTAGTAGCTTTATCCAAATCAGTTCCAAAGTTTCTCTTGTACAAGTTGCCTGGAACATGCCTGAACTGAACTCTGATCTCTGCTCTGCATTTCATTGCAAAAAACAACATAAAGACATGCAATCACGTACAATGGAACAAAAGAAAATAAATAAAGAACGCATTTTCAAGAAGGGAAATTATAAATTTATAAGGCTAGCTAGCTAGATACCGTGTAGTGTGTAGAGCCTTGCCTGCTTTCATCAAGAAGGGGACCCCATCCCATCGTGCATTATCAATGAAAAGTGCTGCTGCTGCAAAAGTTGGAGTGATGCTATCCTTTGGTACTGTTGGGTCATCTATATAAGCAGGATAAAACTTGCCTCCCTTAGAATGACCTTTATATTGGCCAACTACTATGTCATCAATCTTTAATGGTCTCATTGACCGTAAAACCTTGACCTGAAGCAAGATCTCATGCAAAAAAATAAGAAACTTCATCTGCAGTATACGTATCATGCAGAACTTTTATTTTGATGAGCCCCAGTTACCCATTAGATAGACGCCAAGAACAAACTTAACAATAGAAAATCAATACACATGACACAAACATGGAAGTTTTCAGGTAAGTCATTTAGAGGAATGCTGCTGCCACCTGAATGATACCCTAAAAAGGCCAAAAACAAGCAGATAACCTAGAAAGCCAATGCAATAAGGCTTATTTGATTCATGGAATTGGAATTGTACTTTGAAATTTCAATTCAAGGGATTCTACTACCAGACATTCCAGATCCTGAAATTTTAATGTTTTTGTTTTGACATTCATTAAATGTCAAAGCAACTCCTTTTAATGGTTAAGAAGTATAAATCAACAAATTGCACATTGAGAACAATCAGTTATTTTATCAAAAAGATTAAAACGAAAAGAAAAAGCAAGGTAAAAATATGTAATATTTTTTTTGAAAATAGGTAAAAATATGTAATAGATACCAAATTGAACATCCAGGCTACTGAAGCATTAAAAAACCAAATGGTGCTCTGTGATCTATTCTTTTTCATGGAAAGTTAAGGATATTGTATCCATTTTTTCCAGATTGGAGGAGGGAATGAAAGAGAGAGGGCCAACAACAATTCCTATGGCAGTTTTTATTTTCTTTCATTTTTTGCTACATAATCAAGTGATTAACATGGCAAAGAGTTACAATGCAAGAGATAAATGCCTGTTGCAGCAAATCAATGGTGGGCATGCTAGATGTTGATAAATGGTGACTGCCAGAGAGAGAAAGGGAGAGGTCATTGCTGATTGCCAAAGCAGATGGAACCTATTAGAGTTAAAGAAATGCAATGAAGAGGGAACAAGTTTCTAAAGATGCAATGAGGAAGGTGTTTTTTCTTTTTTGTGAGAAAGGTTGACTATTTTCACTTTCAAGGTGTATTGGGGGAAGCGTCTCCCCCCATAAACAGTGGAAGCCCACATTTTTCAGATAGTGTACACCAAACACCTGAATAGGATCAATTCCAATTCCACCCTAAGTCCAGGAACCAAATGCAGCCCAAGTTCTTCCGAACTCTCAGAAAGACTTTCTTTGCAGACCTTTTCGTTTCTAATGTCCTCAGCATCTAAGCTGACGGGTGGCTCCATGGCAAATAGAGCTAGTATCTGAAGGAGATGATTTTGCATTATATCTCGGATGATTCCATAGTGATCAAAGTATCTGCATGCATAAACAGCCAAATAAGGTGTTACATGCAAAGAATAATGTTTGTGGATTAACATTAGTGGTGAATATTTGGAACTAACCCGCCTCGACCTTCAATTCCAAAATCCTCAGAAAATATTAATTGCACATTTCTGATGTAGTTCCTAGACCATAAAGGCTCAAAAACAAGATTTGAGAAACGAAGCACCGAGAGATTCTCAACAAGCTCCTTCCCCAAGTAATGATCGATCCTACAAATGTCAAGCAAAACCAAGTCTATTTTTAGCTTGTTGTCTTTACACAATATATAATCAAATTAATAATATACCTGAAAATCTGGTCTTCAGTTAGATACTGCTTCAAGCATCTGGTTAGCTCTGCAGATGACTCTGTGTCACGACCAAATGGCTTTTCAACAATGACCCTAGTCCATCCATCTGCTGAAGAAGCACAACGACTAGCACATCGTACCACATCCACAAATATGTTTGGAGGAATTGATAAATAAAATAACCTCTTTGGAATTCTTCCACCCTGAAATAATTCTTTGTTATGAAAAAGAAGGATGACTTTGTAAGATGCAGTAGATAGCCACCAAAATCCATCCCCTAAAGCTGACAAGCGAGGGATTACCTTTAGGGGAAAACTATTAAGGAAAGTGATGCTACACTCATTTTAGAGCAAATAAAAACCATAAAATTGCTACATGGAGATGAAAACTTGGTATTATAGACTATTTACGGATGAAAACAACATTGGTGATATAAGGAAGGACAAAGTACTGAGTTGTAACACTGGAAGGTTGATCATACTTCTTAAAAATGATCCCTTTGGTTTGAATGGTTGGTCGGTCAGTAGTGAAACAATGGGTGTATTGTCTTATGCCTCAATCTATTTGTAAGGATGTAAAGTGAGAATCATAGATATTCACTTCAAGATGAAAGAAGATGAAGAAGTCATGCAAGCTTGAAAAAAAAAATCCTTAACTGTTATTATTGACAACAAACTCAATTTTTTTGATATTGCAAATACTTGATAAGCATAATAATGGAAAGATCTTGAGATAAGAAATAGGTGAAAATATGAAATTATTATATTAAGTATCTTAATAGAATTTTATACACTTCAGAATAGAAGTAATGTTTCTGAGAGTATATGCACTCACACATCTCAAAGCTGAAATTTCTGCATGTTGGTAATTTTTTCCCATAGGAAAATTTTACCGGTTGATGCAATCTTTCAGTAAGAAGGGGGAAAATATAGGGCTTGATTCATCATTCATATTTCCACTTCTTGTACCACCTTCTACTCTCTTTCAGGTTTTTCCTTCTTTTGGCCTTGTTATTTCTACACTATTGACACTATTATCTGACTTTTTGTAGTGGATCATCCAATGGGTAAAGCTCACAAGTCATGGGGGCTACACAGGATAATGCACAACTTTTATACAATAATAGTACTACTAATTGTCCTCATGTGCTGATCTTACATCTTCGTGTATAGGAAAGGTAGAACTAAAAATCTACCTGTTACAAACATGAAAAAGGCTCTAGGTAATTGATGAGCTTCTTTAGCCTTTTAACATTTGTTATCAGTACTTACATGTCATATGGAATATATTTGGGTAATTCTGCAAAGCTTAAGAAAATCCGTGTTTATGTCATAATGAACCTCTATAGGACATTTGGGTTTGAGCTTCCCAATTGGAATCTTCTTGATGAGCATTACTTAATTGAATTTTGGATTATGATAACACCTGAAGAACTGAAGTCTTAAATGTTCAACTGTTCACAATTATCTTTTTGTCAGAGAATAAAAAACTATTCAGGGACCTCACCTAACAGCTTAAGCTTTTATGTTGAACGGTTCCTTGACACCTTTTCTTCATTCATTAAGATCCAAAAATTCAAAAAAAAAAAAAAAGATCCAAAAGTTCGAAAACAATGGGAGAAAACTATACCTCTTTCTCTTTCAGTCTTTTGTCCAATTCTGAGAAATTCTCCTCAGAACCATACTGGCCGGAATGGTAGAAGCATCTCTGCAAGAACTCCTCCATCTTGTCACCACAATTTTCCCTGTAACGTCCACCACAAATAAATAAATGCAAGAAGGAATATCTAATCGATCGAAGCTTAGGACAATGAGAATGCTTAGGGTCAATGCAAAACCTCTTGTCAATTCTGCATGTCAGAGTTTTACTTATCATGTTCCTCAGCTCCTCATCAGTCATCTTGCTCCGAGCATATCCAAAAACTATGAAATGCTATGAGAGAGGGGGCAAAAATCAAATCAAGAAGCACACTGACCAAGCTTCATCCTAGAAACTCAATTTATTCAAATCAAGCAAGATATATGTCCTACGAAAACTAGTTTTACAGAGCAGAAAAAAATTGAACCTCAGGTAGACAATCTTCGTAGAAAAGAGCAAAAAGTGCAGGAAAGATCTTTTTCTTGGCAAGGTCCCCTGAAGCTCCAACAACTGTCATACTCAGGGTGGACTCGCTTTTTTCAGAGTACGAGGAAGAAATCGTCCCATCTTCTACTGCCGATCCAACGGGTTCTTTCATTGGCGAATTCTCAGCTAAACCTACCATAGAAGGCCATTTCATAGTTAAGAAACAAAAAGAAAAACAATCAAGAAAATTATGAAAATAACACATGGTAATCTTCTAGAATGAAATATTCCTGTTCCATCCCAGTGAAGCACGTGCAGTTACTTACTTCAGTACAGAAAACCAATCAAGAGAAAGGAAATATTTAAAAAGGGAAAAAGGAAACGAACAAATTCATATAGGAAAGAATAATAATACAGCAACCTAACAAGAAAAAGCCCAACCAGAAGAATAAGTATGCTATACTCCCCATCCACAGGAATAAAAGAAAAGAAAAAAAAAAAAGCGGTCACAGACCCAACTCAAGTACTCAACTAAATTCAGCCTTAATTCCAACAATTTGGGCTCGGCCGCAGACCTAAGAAAAATGAAAATCTATATGGGAAGAGAAATGTCAGGGAAATTGCCGAAGAAAAGAAAACAAACAAGTAATACAAGAAGAAGAAACTGATCAAAGAATCGGAATGAGGAATTGAAACCTCACCGTCTTGCAAAGGAACGGCATTTCGTGAATACCCATTTGTAGATTTAAGCTCAAATTGCTTGTTGGGACGAGGACTTGGAAGGTTGTGAGTAAGTAAGATGGTCTTCCTCGTTGTCGTTGGTTTAGTTAACTTTCTGGAGAGATGTGCTTCATGCTTGAATAAAGCTGCTGAGAAAGTGGTAGAGGAAGAAGAACAAGGACTGTAACAGCAAGCCATGCAATAGGACTGACAGAGCAGCTTAAGACATAAGAAACAGCGATTACTATGAAATATCTACGAATACGGAAGAATGGAATGGCAGAAGAAGAAATGATATGATTATGATCCCATGAAGATTTGCATGATTAATATATACATTCACAAAACAGAACAGCTCCTTCAAGAAAAGCTACAAGCACACATGAGGTCTAGATTTTTTTGCACGGGAAGCGATCAGGAATATCTCGCACGACACGAGGGAGCCCCTTTTATCTGTCTTTGGATAGGACTATTATTGTTGACCAGATGCGCTGTAAATGAATTCCAATCCAACGTGTTCAGACGCCTCCTCATTTGAGACTTTTTTTTTTTTTCCCTTGCTTCTATCTTCTTCTAAAGTAATCATTTGTCTTTGACAACGGGACGGGGATAATCCGGATCTGCTCTGCACATTAGCGCTCCCCACACCTACTCACACGCCACTACAGCCGTTCATTGAGAACATCTCCCCATTTTCCCACTCCACGACCACGGGCTGTAGTCTGTAGAGTGTAGACTGTAGACTGTAGTGTTAGTTGTGTGGGCAGGTGTGAGAGTGGGGGGAGCAGATCCGAGTTTAACGTTCTCATCGTGCAGTAGGTTAGGTAGTTGGCTTTGCTAGTTTCGAATTCACATCTGCGCCCAAGTGCCCCAAGGCTGAGATGAAGGAAATGGAATGTATTTTTTGCCTTTTTTTTTGTAGAAATTATAAGAATACCATTCTCTACCAACCTTCTTTTTTTTTTCTTCTTTCAAATTATAAAAATGCCACTCTTTCCTATTAATTCTCTCTCTCTTACTTTTTTCTTTCAAATTACAAAAATGCCACTCTCTCCTATCAATTATCTCTCTCTCTTTTTTACAAATTATAAGAATGCCATCTATCGTCATAAATTACAAGAATGCCACTCTCTCTCCAACTGAGAGAGACCTCAGCTCGACATCTCGACTGCTAGGAGACCTGCAATCAAAGGTAGTCGAGTTCGAGCCGAGCCGAGCTGAGCTCGAACTCCTGAGCTCAAGCTCAAATCTCTAATTCGAATCGAGCTCGAGCTAGACGACACCTCGACCACTGAGGGAGACATCGGCTCAGCACCTCAGTCATTGAGGGAGATCTCGGCTTGGCACCTCGACAAACTAAGGGAGACCTCAGCTGTGCACCTTGTCAACTAAGGGAGACCGTAGCTCAACACCTCGCCTGCTAGGGAAACCTCAGCTCGACACTTCAGCAACTAAGGAAGACCTCGATTTGACACCTCGGCAATTGAGGGAGACCTCAACTACTTGAGAGACCTACAATCAAAGGTAGTCGAGCTCAAACTTTCGAGTTTTTAACTTGAGTCGAACTCAAGTCTTTAATTTGAACCGAGCTCAAGTCTGATAGTTTATGAGCGAGCCCCTGTAACGCAAGGCCCCGTCCTCCTTGATGGCATAGTTATCACTCTTTAACTCTTCTGATTTCATGATGATTGAATATGATTTTTTTTTTATAAAATCTTATATCTATATCTATATAAATATATTAAGCTGAAATGTGTATCTAAGAAGGCCTGAGGATGGGGTCTAATAGTATTCTTTGCCTTTTTTTCATAGAAATTATAAGATTGCCACTCTCTACCAACTCTCTCTCTTTTGCTTTTTTTTTCTTTCAAATTACAAGAATGCCACTCTTTCTCTCTATCTCTCTCTCTTCCTTGCAATTTACAAGAATGCCATCTCTCTCTCTCTCTCTTGCTTTTTTTTTCTTTCAAATTGCAAGAATGCCACTCTCTCTCTATCTCTTTCTCTCTCTCTCTCTCTTTCTTGCAAATTACAAGAATGCCATCTCTCTCTCTCTCTCCTTATAAATTACAAGAATGCCACTTTCTCTTTCCAACTGAGGGAGACCTCAGCTCGGCATCTCAACTGCTAGGGGACCTGCAATCAAAGGTAGTCGAGTTCAAGCCGAGCCGAGCCGAGCCGAGCCGAGCTTGAATTCCTGAGCCCAAGCTTAAGTCTCTAATTTGAATCGAACTCAAGCTAGATGACACCTCGACCACCGAGGGAGACCTCGGCTTGGCACCTCGGTCACTGAGGGAGATCTCGACTCAGCAACTCGACAATTGAGGGAAACCTTAACACCTTGTCAACTAAGGGAGACCTTAGCTCAACACCTTGCTTTCTAGGGAAACCTCAGCTCGACACTTCAGCAGCTGAGCGAGACCTCGATTTGGCACCACGACAATTGAGAGAGATCTCGACTGCTTGAGAGACCTGCAATCAAAGGTAGTCGAGCTTAAACTTTCGGGCTTTTGACTCGAGTCGAGCTCGAGCTCAAGTCTCTAATTCGAATCGAATTCGAACCTAATAATTTATGAACAAGCCCCTGCAACACAAGGCCCCCTCCGCTAGTTAGCTCTTTAACAAAAGATGGGCTGCATAGTTGGTTCAGGTTGGCCAAAGCCTATGCAGGTAGGGAGCTTGCTGCTCTACGCACGCATGCACAAACACAGGTAGGGAATCCCATCTATACTATTCCTGCTCTATAAGATAAGGGGAGTCATTATGGTCAATGTGGAGCGGTGTATCAGATAAGTGACCTACTCTACTCCCACCGACAACCAAGATTTGTATGACTGGATTGGGCCATATGTCCAATCCTCCTACAGTCCACGTAAGTCCCATGGCACTGGGAGTTTAGATTTCCTCAAATGAATCGAAAGCCCAACCTGAAAAGGAAGGCTGGGGCATGGGCTCACTGTCACTGAACAACTATCGTCTGCTCAGCTATTGCTCAACTAGATCTACACATAGTTTGGAAAGAGTATAAATACAAATTTGTAAAGTGCAAAATCTTATATATATATATATATATATATATATATATATATATATATTTATGGTTTACAATTTGAATCCATGACGTTTTGCTATCACTTAGGTGGCCAAAGGCATAGGTACCGGCAGTGGCGGAATGAGCAACCCATCTCTCTCTCTCTATCTATCTCAAAGAGAGTGACCCAAATGAATGAATCAGAACAAGAACAAGAAAGCTTAAAGCTAAGGAATACTCACCGCTAAGATATACGGGTGAATACAAACATGAAGAGAAGGTAAGTGGAGAATTAAGATTGTGTTTGATACTGATGTAACCGTTTTTGGTCACGTACCATTTTTTGTGATGTATAAATTTTTTGGCTAAGTACCTCGTTGTTTGATTCGGTGGTGACGTGCCTTGGTGATGAGCTACTTGGTGGCGAACTCCCTAGGGGAGAACTGCTTGGTGACGAACTGCTTGGTGGCGAACTGCCTGGTGGCGAGCTCCCTGGTGGAGAGCTACTTGGTGACGAACTGCCGGGTGGCGAACTGCCTGGTGGTGCTCCCTGCTGGCGAACTGCCTGGTGGCGAACTGCCTGGTGGCAAACTGCCTGGTGGCGAACTCCCTGGTGGCGAGCTGCCGGATGGCGAGCTGCCTGGTGACGAACTGCTTGGTGGCGAACTGCCAGGTGGTGAACTCCCTGGTGGCGAACTTCCTGGTGGCGAACTGCCTGATGGCGAACTGCCTGATGGCAAACTGCCTGGTGGCGAACTGCCTGGTGGCGAATTGCCTGGTGGACTCGTCACTTGACTTGCTCCTAGGCGGCTTGCAACTCAGAGGATGGTGGAGCTCCCTGGTGCAACGCAACCCGACTACTTTCCGTGTGAGGTGATTTTCTCTCCTTTGTAGGCGGCGGGAGCTGAGGGACCTGCGAGARCTGAATCAGAGGACCYRGGGGTATTTTCCCGGCGGGGACTCTCCGATGCCTAAGTTAGCATTCTGATTACAGAGGGCTTGGAGAGAAATGAGAGAGCTAGAGAGCGGGGGTTACCATCCTT